GTGTGTGTGTGTGTGTGTGTGTGTGTGTGTGTTTAATTCGTCTGACTGAGGGTACCACTTCAAAGCAGGCTTTTTCTGCTGAATTTATTAATTGAAACAAGAAGAGAAAATTAATGAGAGGAAATGGGCCATCTGCCTCCTCTATAGATATTATGACAAATAGTCCCAGGCTGTTCAAGAGGCTAGTCCTCCCTAATCTCTCAGCTCAGTTTGGCTGGAAGGCCTGAACGTTGTGGATTAATCTGTAGCAGAGGTGAACTCAGCAGCTGTAAATTGACCCCCTTAGAAGATCGCTTGAAGGAGGAGAGAGCTGGTGGCATGATATGAAACAGACTGAAAATAGCAAACGTGTGCATCTGGGAACATTTCAAGCAGAGATGGGCAGAACTGCTGGTCTGGCGATTTGTGCTGGTTTGTTTCTTGGCCGAACAGGCGTTGGCCACTTCAGAGCCCAGCCTCCTCCATTGAGTGCCCACTCAGATGCAGGGCCCCCAGCTTGCTTTCCCTGTCTCTGCCATTGAGTGAGTGCCTGTCAGAGGAGGTCGGGCTTTGAAGTGTTGAGCATCTCTTCAGTCGATACACGGGCCGGCACAACGCTGGTTGGCTGTTCTTCCAGGAGGCCCAGTGGGGAATTGAACTCCCAACCTCTGGCTCCCCAGCCAGGTAGAATCATAGAACAATTGAGTCGGAAGGGGCATGTAAGGCCATCAGGTCCGACCTCCTGCTCAGTGCAGGAATCCAAACCAAAACAGATCTGATAGAGGGTTATCCAATTGTCTCTTGAATGCCTCTAGCATTGGAGCGCTCCCCATCTCATAGGATAATTGGTTCCATCCTCCCTGAGCTCTCTCTAACGTGCTCCAAGTGGAAGATTAAAACCTTTCGGTGGCCAGGACAAGTTCTGAAGTAACAAGTGTGAACAGCTCACATACCATATTTTTCTGTTTATAAGACCGACCCAGTGTATAAGACGACCGCCCCCCTTTCTAACCCCAAATTAGAAAATTTTGATCCCTGTTTTTCCCTTCCTTTTGCTTAGCCACGGAGCTTAGCAAAAGAAAAGGAAAAGTAGGGATCAAAGGGCTCCCTTTGACCGCCGCTTTTCCTTGCCTTTTGCGAAGCCACGGGGCTTAGCAAAAAGGAAGGGGAGGCTCCCTTCAGGTAAAGGCCCACAGGGCGTATGAAGTGGGGTAACGCAGCTGTGAAAGAGCCCTTTCACGGCTGCTTCAGGATCGAAGGGCTGTGATCATGCAGCCCTTTCACAGCTGCTTTACCCGAAGGGAGCCTTCCCTTCCTTTTTGCTAAGCTCCGTGGCTTCGCAAAAGGCAGGGAAAGCGGCTGCCTTCCGTGTATAAAACGACTCTCCATTTTTTTGTCTAATCATTTAAGGGAAAGGGGTCGTTTTATACACGGAAAAATACGGTAGTTATTTTCCGCGGCCCGAGTTTCCAATCCCCTGTACCCGGCTGTCCGAGCCGTTGCCTGGAATTTGTGGGTGGAACTTTGTCCACATAGAAGCTGGTCTCGCTCTTGGATTTTATTGTCAAATGGCGAGGAGGCGGCGAAGGAGCGACAGACCAGGCCCGCCGAAACGTCTCACTTCATTCCCCTTTTAGAGCCTTGAGTTGCAAGAGTGTACAGAACAACACACGGCCAGCGACGTTGTCATGGACCTCCTCGCCCGGCGCCAGCACGTGAGTCTCTGGGCTTGTGGTGTGAAGGAAGTGTCTGACAGGACTGATCCTTGAGAGAAACAGGAAGGGCCCAACAAAACATCGTCATTGAACCCTCGATCCTTTTTGGATGAATTGATTGAGATTTATTTCACAGGGTGGCAGATCCCAGTCTTTAAAGAAAGACAACGGGCTAATTCATGGGGTTGGATTTACGTAGAGGTGAAGCAATAGTTTTGGAAGGGAAATCTTTTGTTTCTTCTTCTATTCCTACATGATGGCTTAGGTTTGTTCCAGCAGCTGTCATTTTAGAGGCAGTTTGAGGGTGGTGGAGGGGTTGAAAGTTTGGATTGAGGCTTGAGAGATCCGAGTTCAAGTCCCCGCTAAGACATGAAGCGGAGTGGTGGTCTTTAATAGATCTCAGAGAGGGATCTGCTCAGCTAAGTATAAAACCTGTGGGCCAGGCTTCCAGGTTTCCTCTATGTTCCAGGCCTCTTTTTTGTTTTCCTTCCTGTCACCCCAGGTGGACACGATTCTCTTGCTGAGCTGTAAACCCGAGGAGAAGCTTCGTGGCTCTTGCCAGTGGATGTATCGCCACCAGGTGTCCCCAGGATGCCTCTTTGTCAACGTCTGCGCTGATGCAGTGTAAGAGAGAGAGAGAGGGAGGGAGGGCAATCCCGCAGAGTGGCCCAAGATATTTTGCTGCCTGAGGTCCAGAACAAGCTGGTTCTCGCTCTGTTGCTCATATAGAAGACAAGTAGTGTTGAATATTGCTTCACCATCGGTGATGGGCCAGGGGCCTCCACTGCACCTGAGGAAAGATGATTAACTTAGAAGGCAGAGGGCAATAGTGTTGAATATTGCTTCACCATCGGTGAAGGGGCAGGGAAAGATGGATAATTTAGAGGAAAGAGGGATAATTTAGAAGGCAGAGGGCAGGCCAACGGGACACAGTTCTCTTCCCACCCAAGCATTTGGTGCTTGAGGCACCTACCTAACTCTCCCCAGTGTTAGAGCTGGCTGTGCAATCTCTTTTATCTAGTGTTGTAAAGCAGGGGTCCCCAACCTTTTTCACCCCGCGGACCGGCTGGGGAAGGCGGGGCACTCCCCGCACTCCTGTGCATGTCCGAACGAGCGCTCTCTCTCTTCCAAACGAGCGCATGCTCATGCGCAAACGGTGGCGTTTGCACGGGCACGCTGGAGCGTGCACGCAGGCACAAACAGGCTGTGTGGGGGTGAGTGCGTGAGGGGGTGGGGCAGGAGGTCTGTCTTCACGGCCCAGTCCGGCTCAGGCCATGGACCGGCACCGGGCCACGGACTGGGGGTTGGGGACCTCTGTGATAAAGCACAAATATCTCCTTTTATTTGGATTCCTGTCATACGTTTTCTTCAGGTCCCATGCCGTTTTGATAAAGAAAATGAGGATAAGTGGTAGAAGATGAAACATCGTGTAACTTAATGGGGTGCGCTTTTTTAACACCTTCCCCTTCTAATTTTAGGAGTTCACGGACATTCAGTTCCAGGAGCGATGTGGTGATGAGTGGATTCAGTGAACATGTGTTGAGGTGAGTCTCAGAGCAGCCTCGTTGGGCCGAGAGACGACGGGCCTGTCGCCTGCTATGTCTTGATGGCCAACAAATATCATTACACGCGGATCAGAACTACAAATGGTTTCTTCAATGGGAAACAAAGGCTGGTTTCTTTTCATGAATGCCGGCAACTGCTTCAGAAGCACTTTGGCATGGTTGGAACTGAGATAGAAGTCCAGAGAAGTGGATGATAAGTTTTGTAGCCAAGGAAGATGTGGGAAGTGTCACCTTTTCGTTTTAATGTCTGGCAGATTCATAGCCGAATGCGGTGACTCTTGGTTCCTCGAACACGTTGGGAAGATGGACGAGATCCACGGCCTGCCCAAGCGGCGCGGGGTCACGGCAGCGAAGCAGGAAGCGATGGTTGTGCCCTTGATACCTGCCCCCAAGATCAGGTAACATGGAGGGAAAGTAGAGTTGGCGGTCGTGGATTGCTTTGCAGTAGGGTTTTGGAGTTCTTTGACTCCGTGTTTCCCTCAGGTGGCGCTCGGTGAGAATATTCATCTCCTCTACCTTCCGGGACATGCACGGGGAACGTGACCTGCTAACCCGGTCGGTCTTCCCAGAGCTGCGAGCGCGGGCTGCCCAGTTCTGCCTGGCTGTTGAGGACATTGATCTGCGCTGGGGAATCACGGAGCACGAGAGCCAGAGAAACAAGTATGCGGAGAAGGGGAAAGAGGATGTTTGTTGGGTGGGTCGAGAATTCAGGCTGAGAAGCAGAGAGGAGAGGACAGGTGGTGAGTGGTCCCCAACCTTGGGCTTCCAGATGTTCTTGGACTACACCTCCCAGAAGCCTTCACCACCACCTCTGCTGGCCAGGATTTCTGGGAGTTGATGTCCAAGACCATTTGGAGGCCCAAAGTTGGGGACCACTGCCCTGAGGCATTCTTGAGTTGTGGTCATCCGCCTTCACATCTTTACCTTGCACAACTATACAGTGGTGCTTCGCATAGCGAGTTGGGGACCACTGCCCTGAGGCATTCTTGGGTTGTGGTCGTCCGCCTTCACATCTTTACCTTGCACAGCTATATTGTTGTATCTAGGAAAGGGAGTGGGATTGGAGGCTAAGCAGGGTGGAAGGTGTTCTGTTGCTGAAGGTTATATCTCCTTAAAAAGGGACGTGGTGGCGCTGCGGGCTAAACCGCAGAAGCCTGTGCTGCAGGGTCAGAAGACCAAGCAGTCATACATTTTGGAGCTGCTGAACAGCTGATCCGCAGCATCGCTTTGCGAAGATCGGTAAGCGAAACGCTTACCGATTATCGCAAAGCGATTTTCGGCCATAGGGGCCATCGGTATGCAATCGGATTTGCGATCGCTGAAACCTCGCTATGCGGATTCGTCATTCTACGGTGCGCTCGTTAAGCGAGGCACCACTGTATTGTTGTATCTAGGAAAGGGAGTGGGATTGGAGGCTAAGCAGGGTGGAAGTTGTTGTGTTGCTGAAAGTTATATCTCCTTAGGCAACTGGAACTCTGCTTGTCTGAAGTCTGCCAGAGTCAACTCTTCATTGGGCTTCTCGGAGAGCGGTACGGCCATGTTCCCAGCGACTATTTCTTACCAGATGAGCCCCAGTATGAATGGGTGAGTGAAAGCTGTCGGCGTTGCTAGCGGAACTTCATGGGCCCTGTAGTGTGAGAACATTTGTACCTGCCTTAGAGAGCCGGGCCTGAGTCAGGAGCTTCCTGTTTTTATATTTGGAAGAACATAGGCTGCTCCCATGAGTGTCCAGCTTTCCTCTGGGTTGGGGATGTCAGCAAACGGGACCTCTTGCACAAGAAAATGAGCAATAATAAACAGTTAGGACCTTTCCTAAACCAGAGGCTTGCTAATTATTTTTTTTTAATGACGATGGGAAGGATCAAAGTTTTTTTAAGCTGTCAGTGGCATCTAAGAGAGGATAAGCTCAATGCTGCTTTCATGAAGCTTCTGTCCTGAAATGTTTCCAACATTTGGGATAGGTGAAGACAGTGTGTGTTCCCTCTGCAGATCAAGTCCTACCCAGTGGGCCGTTCGGTCACAGAGCTCGAGGCTGTTCAGTTCCTGAAGGGTTGCAAAAATCCTACTGCAGAATCCAGGGCCTTCTTTTACCTCCGAGAGCCAGACTTCCTCGGGTAAGGCATTTACAGTAATTTTCAAATGAAATGCTAGGTTATGGTTTATAGGTTATGGTTTAGCTCTGTAGACTTAAATCAAGTCACTGTCCCTAATGCAAGTACAGTTGGAGCTCTGTATCTACAGGAGATTAATTCTAAGCCCCCCCCGCCCCGTAGATGCTGAAAAAATATATATACTGTAATAGCAAACACTATACATAGCATGGTCTCTGGCATCCCCTAGTGGCTGGTTTTGATAACTTCATTGTTAGAAATATGTAGTATGGGATTTTTTTTATTTAATATTTTTAGACCATGGATAAGTGAATCAGTGGATACTGATCCCACAGATAAGGGGATCCTACTGTACTTGAAAAAGCAGTTGCTATAGCTTTATTGTACTCTAAGTCACGAAAAGGTGCTTACACAGGTGCAGTTTACAGTGGTGCCTCCCTAGACGATGATAATCCATTCCACTGAAATCGCTGTTTAGCAAAATCATTGTCTAGCGAAATCGTCGTCTAGCAAAAATCGGTTTGCGAAGCAGGGACCAAACATTGTCCAGCGAAATTCCCCCATAGGAATCACTGTTTTGTGAATCGCTATAGCAATCGCAAAAAGTCAACGTCTAGCGAAAAAACTGTCGTGCGGGGTAACTGTCTAGCGAGGCATTACTGTATTGTGAATGCAACACAAGTAGGGGAGTTTGAAATATTGTGAGGAATACTGCATCCTGAGGGATATCCATTTTTTTTTATTTTAGTAAAGGAGGCCCATCAAGTTTCTAGTCATCTTTGCGGCTGAGAATATGCTTTGAATGGTGCGGGTAGTGTTTGGTGAAGCATTACTCACATGGTCTTCGCATCCATAGGACTGCAAGTTAATGCTTTAATACAGCTGTGTAGAGTTTCATGGCTGGATAGCTCAGTGGTTTGGGTATCTGGATGTCCAGCCAGAGGTTGGGAGTTCGATTCCACGCTATACCTCCAGGGAGAAGAAGAAGCCTGGGTGGCCTTGGGCAAGCTGCACAGTCTCACAGCGCCTCTAGAGGAAGGGAAGGGTAAAGCATTTCTGAGTCTTCTCTACTTGAAAGACCCTGGAAAGGATTGCCATAAGTCAGAACTGACTTGATGGCATTTGCTTCTGGTACTGCTTCCTATAGAGCAGTAGGTTGGAGGATCTGGCTGGAGAGCCCGAGGCTCCGCACTGTGCCTTCCAGCAGAGGGGCCAGCCAAGATGACCTGAAGTGTGTGTAGATAAAGGGGATCATGAGTCCTTACGCATCACCGGACAACGAGACCGGTAAACCACTTCAAAGTACTTTATAGGTGGGAAATCTTGGGAAGCTTACCCTAAATGGGAATTCACTTGACAGCATTATAGTCATTATTTATTCTCATAGAGATAAGGAGCTGTTCACAGTGCTGAAACGCCACTCGCTGCAGATCATTGCGGTGACATCTGTGCTCCAGACATGTAATGATGCAATCCACTCTGCACCACAGTTTTTTTGTTCAATGCCTCCTGTATCAATTTTGTTTTTAAACCCTGCAGTGGTTTCTCAGTGGATCTACGTTGTGCTGATGTATAACCCCATACTTCGAAGACCACAGCGATTAAGCTGCAAAGGCTGTGTCCAGTGTTGTTGTTCGTTTGCTGTTGTTGTTGTCGTTGTTTCTACTTGCATACTGCCCCATAGTGCTAGAGCACTCTCTGGGCGGCTTTCAGCGTAATTATGCAAGGAACATTTTGCTCCACCAGCGGGCTAGGTACTCGTTTTACCAACCTCGGAAGGATGGGAGGCTGAGTCAACTTTCAGCTGGCTAGCCACCCAGAGTAGACTTCGATCTAGATGGACGGGGTATAAATTTAATAAATAAATAAAATAAAATAAATACAGTGGTGCCTCACTTGGCGATTGCTCCGTTTAATGACGAAATCACTTAATGATGGTTTAAACAGCCTCATGTTTGCTGTTTTTTAAATGTTTTCCTGTTATTTATAAAGTTATTTACTGTTTAAAATGTTTGAAATCATAAAGTGCACTTAATAAACCCTTTGTTAACCAAATTTGCCTTTGTTCTGACTCTTTTTAAATTTATTGTTGTATTTTTCCCCCCATTGAGATGCATTGAATAGGTTTCAATGCATTTCAATTGGGGAACCGCGTTTTACTTAGTGATGTTTCCTATGGCGAGTTTCACTTAAGGACAGCAATTTGTTCCTATTGGAACGGATTATCCGGTTTTCAATGCATTTCAATGGGAAACCATGTTTCGCTTAGCGATGAAATTGCTTAGCAGTGATTTTTTTGGAACGAATTAACATCGCTAAGCGAGGCACCACTGTAAATACCTGAACCCGCTGGGATTGAACTCGGATCATGAGCAGAGGTTTGACTGCAGTACTGAAGCTTAGCCACTTTTATGGCCATGAGATTTCAGCATTTCTGATTTACAAGTAGCTCGCTTTGGCATGTGAGTTTTTTTCTAGCAAAATGAACAGGTTTTCTGATTTATTTTTTTTGCCTTGAAGGATGATTTGACCTCTTCGGAGTGGGCCCAATTTATTTATTTTTATTTATTTATTTTTTTGCCTTGAAGGAAGATTTGACCTCCTCGGAGTGGGCCCAACATGCTACGGCTATCTTACAGCTTGCTTTCAAACCCTCTTGGTCTCTAGCTTTTGAATCGCAACCAAAACGGTCCTAGGTGCATAGAAAATCTAAATTTTTGAAGGTCAATGTGGGTTTCCTTTTGTGGAGAATTAGAGTCTTCTTCATCTCCTGTCTCCTTTGTCTCTCTTCTTTCCTCTGGTCAGTTCTGTGCCTGAAGCGTGGAAGGCAGATTTCGTGGCCGAGTCAGAGGAGGCGGAACGCCGCGTGGCAAACCTGAAAGAGCATATTGGAAAGCACGAAGGCCTGGCTTCGTTTGGCAGGTAATGCAAATTGACATTGATAGATAAAATAGTGCAATTTCCTAGCACTGCCTCCTTGACTGTCTTCTCCTCTTTTTTTTACAGATATAAGTGCCAGTGGGGTGGAGTCGCCCACGGCCGGCCTTATGTCAAAGGGCTGGAGGATTTTGGCATCAGGGTCTTGAAAGACGTCTGGGAATGCCTCCGGCACCATTATATAGAGGTAAAAGACAAGAATACTAAGGATGAATTCCATTTAAAATAGAGAGCTTACAGGTATGTACTGACCTCAGATATCAATGTCAGCATGTCTGCTGGCCCTGTCTAGAGATGGAAATGTTTTATGAATTCCATTTAAAATAGAGAGCTTACAGATGTGGTAATGACCTCAGATAATGTCAGCATATCTGCTGGCCCTGTCTAGAGATGGAAATATTTTACTTGGTAAAGGTAAAGGTTCCCCTTGACATTTAGTCCAGTCATGTCCGACTCTAGGGCGTGGTGTTCATCCTTGTTTCCAAGCCGTAGAGCCAGCGTTTGTTCATAGACAGTTTCCGTGGTCACGTGGCCAGTGCGACTAGACACGGAACGCCGTGACCTTCCCACCGAGGTGGTCCCTATTTATCGCCTCGCATTTTTACATGCTTTTGAACGGCTAGGTTGGCAGGAGCTGGGACAAGCGACGGGAGCTTGCTCCGTCTTGCGGATTCGATCTTACAACGGCTGGTCTTCTGACCTTGCAGCATAGAGACTTCTGCGGTTTAACCCGCAGCACCGCCACGTCCCAATTTTTTTTAAACTTGAGGACAGTATAATTCTCTGCCTATTCCCTCGCCCGCCCCACCCTGATCCTGAATGTGCCGGCTGAGAACCCTAACCTTCCCATTTGAGAACTCCTCCCACCATATTAAAACCATATTAAAACCAAAATGTAATCTACAGTACATGCCATGCGTGCGAAAGAAATGTTGCCTTGCGCCACAACACCTCAGGGCATATGGTTTAATACATCTGACTTCAGCAAAAAGGCTGAGAGAAATGGCCAGTTTGTTTCTTCTGGTAAAACTGAATAGATATTAAAATGTTTTTAAACCTTTAAAGGTTTAAAACCTTTAAAGGTTTAAAAACATTTGATTGCACCGCCTCCCTGTCAGGCTAGTTCCCCTTTTTCCTCCTCCTGAGTCAGATGATTAGCCCTGTCTTGAAGAAGCTAAATTGAATTCAATAATTCTCCATAATTAGAATATGTACATGCATGTGTAGGAGGAGTACAGTATCACTAAATTTGCCATCTTTCGTTATGTAAGTGGGCTTCCCCTTGGGGACCAGTAGAGATCAGAGAATCATAGTATAGTGAAGTTGGAAGGGGCCTCTTAAGGCCATCGAGTCCAACTCCCTGCTCGATGCAGGAATACAGATCAAAGGACATCTGGACACGGAATTGCCGGTTTGGTGGATTGTGCAGATTTGGACGATGGCTGAACACGTGTTCCACTCTGAGGCAGCGGCCAGAGGAGGCAGGGCAGGGAAGCCAGGGGGCTGTTTCTGAGTGGCCGCCTGCTGGAGGGGGCAAGGCAGTCCCCTGCGGAATGCCTGCTCGGCTGTCATCTGAGCCGGTCGGTCGTTTGTGCCCATCTCTAGGGACTGGTCTTTCCCCAGTACAAAATAAGGAGAACAGTGGCACCCTGCTGCTAATTAATGACGTGCTGATTGCCTTCCTCAGCATGCACCCAATCAGCCCCGCGCACAAGAGTGCAACCAGCACTTTGTTCCCGAGCAGCCGTTTGCCACCAAGACCTGTGATTTCCCTTAAATAAGCATAAAAGCCCAATAGAATCCTGCCTTACATAAATGAAACAAAATTTCATAATTCCTTTCTGTTCTACTAGATTTGGGGAAGGGACACAGAACAGTTGTCTCAGTTTCAGCTGCTTGAGTCCTGTTCAGCTGCTACTATGAGATTTTTTTAAGCATGGACCCTTCTTTCCCCCCTCCCCCAACTTGGAACACAACTTTTCCACCTTAAGAGCCAGAGACGTGTTCGTTTAAAAGCAAAAGAAAGCACGCCGTTTCTTCAGAGCTGCAGTGAGAAACCTGCCTAGTTTTTGGCAAGTTTTCTGTTTCCTCTTAACTTTGAGGATGAAATAAACTTTGAGAATAAAATCCTAACTTCTGCAGGATTTTATTTCACTGCAGGTGAAATAAAAACCTGCAGAAATGATCCATAGATCTCGACGGAAAGGAGTGCTTGTTGTAGAGAATGCCCCCGCGCATATTGGATGTCTCTCTCTCTCTCTGTGTCTCATACCCGTCCCTGTTTATTTAGAGAGATGGTGCTTCCCTTCCTGGCGACTCAGAGGAGGAGGAAGGAAGCGCTCTGCAAGAATCTTTCCAAGAGCTGCAGCAGAGGAGGTGCTGCGCACGGGCAAAGCTGCTCCACGCCACGGTTGCCCAGTTGCGTGGGGGTAGGATCTACGTGGTGAGCGGAGAGCCTGGACAGGGGAAGACGGTCTTCTTGGTGAGCGAAGGGAACTCAATCTGGGATGAATCCGGGCGGTGGGGAGGAAGAGAGGTGTGGGAGGGTTTCACTGTGAACTCATTCAGCAAGTGGGGATCCTTGGCATAGCCTGGGTAACCCAGTCCCCATCTTAGCTGGGGGTCCTGGCATGTGGGCTGGCCAGGCTGGCCGTGTTTGGAGCGGCCGCTGTTTAGAATCATCGCAGCAGCATGAATGAAAAGCAGTATCCTGGGCGACCCAATCCGAGGCCTCCTGGGGTTCAGAATGAGTCAGTGAGAGACACCGGTTGGCCAAAGGCCACAGCCAATCAGGTCACGACACAGGGCTGCTTGGCAGACCCAAAGGGAGGAGTTTTCACTCCCGCCCACTTGCATTCCTGGTCAGGGGCCAAGTCGGGCGACTGGCCCGTGACCAGGAATGAAAGCAGCAACTTGTTAACGAGCGGCCGTATAGGGCCACCATTTACATAATGACACTTGGTGCCAGCATAAACTCCAAATGGAGTTTCGTCCAACAGATAGCCCCCCCCGCTCCAGCCTGTTCCAAAATCTTCTATGCATGTCTATGTTTGGGTGCGGGCTATTTTTTGCCTAAGTGCTAACTGGATAGTTCAGAGAGTTGAATACTTTATTGCACAACCAGAGGTCAGGAGTGCTGATTTCTGAGTGTGCCTCCAGAGAGAAGAGCCAGCCTGTGTGGCCTTGAGCAAGCTGCACCGTCCCAGAATGCCTCCAGAAGGAAAAAAAAATTAAAATAAATGACTTACTGTTTACTCTATGGATGGTGGCCTTGAGCAAGCTGCACTGTCCCAGAGTGCCTCCAGAAGGAATATATATATATATATTAATCGCTTACTGTTTACTCTATGGCTGGAAAACCCTGGAAAGGGTTGCCACATGTCAGAATGGACTAGATGGATGGATGATGACGACGATGATGATGATGACAATGACGACGATAACGATAATGATAATAATGATAATAATGATAACAACAACAACAACAACAACAACAATAATAATAATAAAATAACAACCTGTTTCTAAAATAAGACCTAACCTGAAAATAAGCCCTATTAGGATTTTTCAGGATGCTCGTCATATAAGCCCTACCCCAAAAATAAGCCCCAGTTAAGTGAAACCCCACCCTCCACCCTTGTGCAGCAACCAAAAGAAAATGACATGACTGTACATAAAAAATAAAACATCCCCTGAAAATAAGCCCTAATGCGTTTTTTGGAGCAAAAATCAGTATAAGACCCTGTCTTATTTTCAGGGAAACATGGTAATAATTCACTAAGTAACAAAATGTATTATTCATTTTCAAGGACATTTCTACTCTTATTTATTCTCTCATTTCATTCGCTTTCTTAAACATGGAAGAAGTGACAGGCTTAGGTGTGAAATTATAGACCAATTGCAGAGGCGTTGTGACTTCTTTAGCCTCGGGAGATTGCGAATCCGGGGGTGGGTGGGGTGAATTTCAGGATTTGTGAGCTGGGCTGGTTGATTCAGGGTGTTACCCTCGTCCATCTTGCTTCAGAGGGCCAACTAACCCGCTATTTTCTTTTACCTCAGGCAGCCCTTGCCCAGGAGCTCAGGTCAAAAGCCCCAGCACAAGGCGCCGGCCAGCCTCCCAGCTACCACGTTGTGGCCCACTTCGCCCAGGCCCGGCCTGATCAGGCTGGAGCCCAGGTTGTCTTGGGCCGTCTGTGTGCCTCGCTGAGGAAACTGCTGGATCAGCCACCAGCCCCGCCTGGAAGCTACAGGTGAGCACCGTTGTGACGAGCAAGAGTGTGTGTTGCATTGGTTGGTTGTTGGGTCGGGGGTGGGGGAGATCTGAGGCCAATTTCCAGAGGGCCGCCTGCTGCGCTGTGCTGAAGAGCTGCTAGAGAACAAGTTGTCACTTTCCCCACCGACAGCAGGCTGTTTCAAGTGTACAGGAAGATCCCCATATCCACAGGGAATTGGTTCCAAACCCACCCACCCCTGTGGATACTGAAAAACATGGATAATAGAGACAGAAAGACGAATGGACAGATAGAAGGATAGATTGATAGATAACCTGCATTTTTAATACACCACATGCATTTCATTCCATCTCCTTATGCCTAGGATAAAATTTTAAGCACACAGACCTTTTTTGAAATTACAAAAATTGCTCTAGGAGTTGTGTATGTGTATTTCTGATGCACTGGTGCTAGCCAATAGGTGTCCTCCAGAACTACATTTTTCTCTTGGTCAGACTCATCCTACCATGATGTCCTATTTAATTTCTCCACAAGCTGATCAAAGCAAGAGGAGGAGAGAATCCTTTGTGTTGAGTATACAGTTGAACCCCATGGGAATAGGTTCCAAACCCCCTGCAGATGCAAGAGAACGTGGACGTATAGAATGCTATACATTGCGTGGTCTCTGGCTTCCTCTAACAGTCAATTCTAGTAAACACACCCTGGAATTATGCATAAATATGTATTTCAGGATGTTTAATACTTTCAGGCAGCAGATACGTGAATCATCGGCTACTGATCGTACAGATAGAGGGTCCAACTGTACTACAAACCATTCTCATGAATCTGAACGTAGACAACAAAGATGTATTTTCATTCTATTATGTGTGTGTGTGTGTGAGAGAGAGAGGGAGCGAATAGGGAACGTATGTGCTTCTTTGCACATGCCCCCATCTGCAACTCAGAAAACATCCTGATTATGGAAGTTCTAACTATATAAACAAGTGCTTGCTGAAAATTTTTAAGACTGTTGTGTTTCCTTGCAGAGGGTTGGTCGTCCAGTTTGAATCCCTCTTGCACTCCGTGACCCAGTCGCTGAAACGCGGCCAGTCCCTAGTGGTTCTGATCGACGGTACCGATTTGATCCACACAGCCAAGGGACAGCTGATTTCGGATTGGCTACCTCAGCAGCTGCCCCAGGTGAGGTTGAGGGCCGCCCCTGAGACCGGATGTCTGCCCGGTTCCCCCACCACCATGCACAGAGAACCATCCGACGCTCCGGTGCCTTTCTCTTTATCTCACCTGTGTGTCCTTCTGTGCAGCGAGCGAGTCTCATCCTCAGCGTCTCAGAAGAATCAGCCCTGCTCGGGTCCCTCAAGCGAAGGACGGACGTGATCCACATTTCTCTTGGGCCTCTGGACCCCCCTGACCGGGTTGCCGTAATTCGCAAAGACCTGGCCTTGTATGGCAAAAAGTTGGAGGAGTCTGCTTTTAATAACCAGGTGAACGGAGCGAGAGGAACACCTCCAGAGGGTCTCGGATCAGCCGTTCCCAACTTTGGTCCCCCAGGTGTTCTGGGACTAACACTCCCAGAAGCCTTCACCACTAGCTTTGCTGGCCAGGGTTTCTGGGAGTTGTAGTCCAAGAACCTCTAGGGGCCCAAGGTTGGCGAACTACTCGTCTAGATCACCATAGGTCTGTCTGGGAGGATTCTGTGGGCTCTCTCAAATGTGGAATTTTGGACTTCAGCTCCCAGAATGCCAGCATGGTCAGTGGCTATGGGATTCTGGGAATTGTAGTACAAACCATCTCCTCCCCTGTTTCCCATCCCAGCATCTAACCCAGTGGTTCTTAACCTTTGTTACTCGGATGCTTTTGAACTGCAACTCCCAGAAACCCCAGTCAGGACAGCTGGTGGTGAAGGCTTCTGGGAGTTGCAGTCCAAAACTCCTGAGTAACCCAAGGTTAAGAACCAGTAATCTAATCTACTAAAGTGTAATCGATGCAAAGGGAGGGGAAGACGTGTGTGTAACTCTGACAAAGGTGGGAGAAAATGTCATAAGGAAATAAACTAAAAACACTTACCTGGTTTCCTGCTAAAATATTCCAGTGGTTTCCTGAGTAATGAGAAGAGAACTGTAAATCTGTTGATTCCAATTCTCCTTCCCGGCAGATGCGGCTCGTGCTCCTGAAAAGGGGCTCCCGGCAGCCTTTGTACTTAGCTCTGCTGACCCAGGACCTGCGACTCTTTGCCCTCTATGAGAAGGTGAGTCAAAGCGGCATGAGACACTGATCCCATATTTTGAAGGAGTGCTCTCTCAAATGGCGAACGAGGTCTGGCTGTAAATGCCTGTTAAAAGTATACGCATGTTTGGTAATTGGGGTATCAAGACTGGCTTTCTTTGCAGATCTGATTGCTGAAATGCGTGCTCTAAATGAGATGGCTTTGCTGGAGGGAAAGCATAATAAAAGCAGAAAATGTGCTTTTCTATGAAGGTTTATTTTCGTTTCTCCTGCTTCCAGCTCTCAGAGAGAATCCAGAAACTACCAGTGTCTCTTCCGCTGTTGCTGCAGCACCTTCTGGGGTGCCTAGAACAAGATCATGGGTTGGAGTTGGTGGCTGTGGCTCTCGTATCCCTCTGGGCCAGCAGAGATGGTAAGCCGTGTGGAAAGCTGTACTCAAGCAGGCCTGCTGGGCTGGATTGTGACAGCAGGGCCTCTGTTCCACCTTAGAGGTGGTTGGCTCTTGTGATGCTCCAAGGGTGGGGGGCCTCCATCTAGAAAAACACTGTGGTTCTGGCCCCTGCAGGACTGACAGAACGAGATCTCTATGGGATCCTTGCAACCTGGAAGGAACTGAATCGGGCCGGCGTCACCTTCGAAGAAGCCATGGTGGCTGGAAGACATGCCGGAAGCTATCCCGTGGCCCCCTTCGTTGATTTTCTGCGCAGCCTAAGAGGGTGAGCCACTCCGTGTCATCCCTGTGGAAAGAAGGGTGCTTTCTCCACTCGCACACCCTCTGGGTAATCCCAACAGTTTCTGAAGCTTGTGTAGGGAGAGAGAGAGAGGGAAAAAAAACATTTGGTGAACATTTTGGAATCGCTAGCTCGGTTGGAGAGCAAAAAATTTTGATTTCTGGTTTTCGGAGGGAAGGGTGTGACGGGGTTGATCTTTCCACTGCTTCCCTATAGGCTGCTCGGGGCATGCGGTTCCCTCTCTGAGCCTCCAGGCTCTCGGCTCCATCTCTGTGGAACACCCTTAAGGGCGGCCGTAGAACGACGCTACCTGAAGAAGCCAGGCCTGGACCACGTGGCTCATGTGCTCTTGGCAGGTAAATGCTTGGTGATACCATGGCTTTGTGGTCATCTTCTGCCCCAACGTCCTCTGCTTTGGGCTTTGGATTTCAATGACCAGAGTGCCATCTTTTTGTTAGATCTTTCTAAGCAAGCAGCCCCAAGCTTTTTGAGCCATGGCGGCAGTCATCGTTCGGCCTGTAATTCGTGCTAAAAGAGGGAACTGTCTCCCCGTTTTATCTTGTGCAGCTCACTGGTGGAAACTGGCAGACCCGGATGGCTCCGGAACTTTCCGGAACAGCGAGGCGGAGTCCTTGAGGGCACTCCCCTATCACCTGGTAAGTGAAAAGGGTGCGAATAAACAGCTTGACAGATAGCGCTGAGCGCTCCAACGGGATTAGCAGCCCACGACGTGGCTGTCATGTCGATAGGAAGGGACACCAGGGCAAAGGGAAACCACACAAAAGATGCAAGCCTGTGTTGCCAGACTTCTTCGATGTAGTTTTCGAAGGAGTGGTCGTTTTCGTCGGTGCGAAACGAAAACAAAAGTGTGTCACACACAAACACACACACACACACACACACACGAGTCAAAAATGTGGCACCTTAAAGACTAACTGCTATATTTTAATGGACTTGATGCACAAAGGCTCACATTAAAATACAGTAGGTTAAGATGCCAGAATATTTTTGAGTTTTTTGTTTGTTTTGCTTCATGATTAATAATAATAATGATATGCCTCCAAGTCAATTCTGACTTTCGCTGACCCTTTTCAGGGTCTTCCAGGTAAAGGGTATTCAGAAGTGGTTTACCATTTCCTTCTTTTGGGGGGGGGGGCCTTGGAACTGTGCAGCTTTCCCAAGGCCACCCAGGCTGGCTCTACTCACAGGAGGCACAGCGGGGAATTGAACTCCCAAACTCTGGTTCCTACCTAAACCACTGAGCGACTGTCCCTCCATGCTAGATTTCATGATCCTAAAGAGAATAAAACAGAAGGCGTGAGAGTCAGGAGGTATCCTTCAGCATACCTCACTTCCATATTAATTTAAGTTTGTTGCCTTTCCCTGTTTGTTTATCGGAAATATTTTAAATTAATTTTTAGTGCTATGTTCTAATGAAGCAGGTTTAAAGAACAGCAGCTCCAGCATGCTTACAGAATACTCTTCAGAGGTTCTAAAATCCATACTTTGATTTCTGATCTCAATGAAAGATGGAATTGAAGACAAAGGTTTTCAAAAGATGGAAGGAGCAATACAATAGGAATCAAATTGTATGGTGTGGAGCCCAACGTGACAAGGCTTTTCCCCTGGGTATATGCCAGCTTCCCTGTGCCGTATGCATGGCGCATGGATACCCAGTGTGGGGCAGTTGATAGAGCAGTGGTTCCCAACCTTGGGTAACCCAAATGTTCTTGGACTACAGCTCCCAGAAGCCTTCACTGCTAGCTGTGCTAGCCAGGATCCTGGGAGTTATAGCCCAAGAACATTGGGGGCCCAGAACTACAACATCCATGTAGCTCGTTGCCTAGAACTAGACAGGGACCGGAAGTGGTCTTGGCACATGCTGTTTTGAACAATGACCATTTTCCTCCTCCAGGTCCAAAGTGGCCAGCTCAATATCCTGGCTTCTTTCTTGACCAGTCTGAATGTCATGAGGGCTCATCTCTCCCTGGGCCTCCTCTGCTGCCTCTTGGAAGCCTATGCACTCTACGGTGAGATTTTGGTCTCCCCCTTGTGGCTGGATTGGGGATAGCCATTTTGAATAGGTTTGGAAACTGCTACAGTAGGATCCCCCCTATCTGAGGGATCAATATCCACTGATTAACTTATCCACGGGCTGAATATAGTAAATAAAATCCCCCAGAAATCTCTTTATATATGTATTTCCAGAGTCTTTTACCAGAACTGGCTACTAGAGGGGGTCGGAGACTGTTCTATGTATAGTGTTTACTACTTCCTTGATTTCATCATCTGCTGGGGTGGGCTTGGAACTGATGCCCCGTGGATATTGCAGTCTTACTGAAGTAAGAAATACATAGGCAACATATAGGTGTCAGTCCCAGATTTATGTGACAGAGTTAGAGCCTCGGCTTTGTGTATATGAGGGGAAGGACTGTTGTCTGTATAAGTGAACAAATAAGTAAATAAATAAACCCAAATTTCAAGTTTTACCTGATCCTTAAAAAAACGGGGAACACAGATCCTAAAACAGACATTGTTCTGCTGTGACAAAAATAATACTTAATGGTGGTGGCCAGAGGCCTGCTGGGAGGTGTAGACCATTACATCCTGCAGCTGTCAAACTTTGTGAGGTCCCCGAGCTCACAGTTGTACACACTGGAAATGGATCTATTTAAAGCAGGGCAACTTTTATGGGCCCAGGGGGGAGATGAATATTCTTCTTTCACAAGATTAAAAAAAACACACAACCCACAACTGTTGCAAGAGTACTAGAAAGGAAGAAGATTCTGCCCAGTACATGTATTCCTATTGTGTGTATAAATCTGAAGAGATAACTATAATTTACATCAAAACTTCAATAGCTCAGATATGGAATATTTAAGGCAAGGCTTGAATATAAACCTAGAACCATAGAAAGTACCGTATTTTTCCATGCATATGACTATACTTTTGTCTAAAATCTTTAGACTAAAAATTGAGGGTAGTCTTATACATGGAAGTAAGCTGAGGAGAGAACAAAAACAAGTGGAGGGGAAAGCAGAGATCAAAGCGATCCTGCAGTTCTTTGATCCCTTTCCCCCTACACTTGCTAAGCCCCACTTATTTTTCTTAATTTTGGATTAGAAAAGTGTGGGGCGTCTTATACACAGAAAAGTACGATAATTTGTTTGAGATCTACATCTGGATCATGAGAGTGGAGAATTATGTCAGGGCCAGACGGTTTCTAGATTGGATAAATGTACTGGAAATATGGATCCCTCCAACCTGGGTCCATTGATCTTGGTGGTTTTCCCTCTGTAACAGAGACTGCAGCCGGAACGGAGAAAGACGAGACCGTTGACTTCTTCCGTGCCTTCCTGCAGCGAAACCTGGTCCTCCTTTCCCAGAATCCCCTGCTGCTCCTGCAGCAGGCAGTGAACGAGCCCGATTCCTCCGAACTCTGTTCACAAGCCTGGGCCGCTCTCGGTGGGAACCGGAGACCTTTTCTGAGATGGGCTAACAAGCGTCAAAAAGCCCAGAAAACCAACAGGTGATCTTTCAACAAGTGGAATTGCTGGACTTTTTCCATTCACTTCCTCTCCCTTATAAACCTTGCCACTTATTTGGGTTTCTGTTTCCCTTCTTTAAACACCAAACAGCCTTGTTCTTACCCTGCCTGCCACCCCGTCCTGTGTCTCGGTCGCCCCGTCGGGCAAGCTGGCTGTTGTGGGCACCACAGAAGGAACACTGCACCTGGTGGATGTGGAGACTGGGCAGGTAAAATCCTAATAATAGTAAATCCTCGCATCATCCTCTTAGAACTGCAGAGCTGGATAGGTCCCTCTGGATCCTCAAGTCCAGCTCCTGTCCAGGAGGCACAACGTGGAGAATCGAACTCCCAACCTCTGGCTTGATGCCGAAACTACTGAGCTGCCCGCTAAGTCCCTCATGGTTTGGGACCACGTTACCTGTTGGAACATCCTTCCCCATGGTCATCTACCTGTTCCACTGGGTCCTCCCAAGCCATGCCTCTCTGGGTCTCCACTCCAGAGGTGTCCCGGAAGTCATCCCTTAGAACAGTGGTCCTCAACCTTGGGCCTCCTGATCTTGGACTACAACTCCCAGAAGTCTTCACCACCACCTCTGCTGGCCAGGATTTCTGGGAGCTGAAGTCCAAGAACATCTGGAGGCTCAAGGTTGGGGACCATTGCCTTAGAAGGAGGGCTTTCTTTGCAGTGGTTCCAATATTCTCGAACCAGCATCTGGTCAAACGGCGCCTGGCTCCCTCCCTCCCTCCCTCCCCACATGGAAAAGGCTCTAAGAAACATTGCTCTGTAGAGAGGTCTTTTTTTGGCAACCCTGACCGATGCATTCTTGGTTGTCATCTCTCATCATATACACACCTTCTCAAGCTTGAAGGAAGTGTCCCTGTTGGCTAGGGCATTCTGAAAACGTTAGTCCAGAAAATGGTCCACAAGCCGCTAAGCCCAGATGGCTATTTGAGGGAGCAGAATTGTGGGATGTCTGAGGTCTTTTTTTGTGTGTGAAGGCTGTTCATGGAGCTTTATCCAACTGAGTGCTCTTCCGATGCCTGGGATTGCAAAGCCTTCCGGTGGAGAAGCAACGGCTGGGGTTGATGGGACTTGAAGTTCGCAACATGAGGCGCGAAACCAGATTAAGGAAGGCTTTGCTGAGCACCTGCGATGGGATCTCGGCCGCTGAGTTTTTGTCGGAAACGAGGGTCTGCCTTGGGGCCTTCAACGGACGGTTTGAGGTTTGGAGCCTGACAGAAGGGTGCAGGTAAGGAGGGGGGTGGGAAGTTGGTCGTGTTGGACAAAATGGTGCTGGGAAGGCAGAAGCTTGGCATCAGCTGAGGCAAAATGGAGAGCTAGGTAATGGTAGCTGAGCATGAGACCAGGTGGGTGAGACGTGGGCTGTGGAATCTATGGATAGATGGAATCATTTGGCTGTAATATTGTAAGTGACCGTAGGACGTAGTGGTCGATAGTTTCTGTCCAAGGATAGATGGGGTGTTTGTAATGCTCTCCGCTCACCCTTTTAGTCTCCAAACGACCTTATGAGGCAGGTTAGTTTGAGTGATAGCAGACGCCCCATTCATGGCCCAGCAGGAATGTGAACCTACCAATCTGGTCAAGATTTAGCTGTTCCTCATACAGATTGTGGCAGTTCATCTGTTGATCTATGTCACCTGCCTTTTTTTAACAAAAGAATGTAAAATGGTGGCTACATTTCCCTACTATGACTGTAATTTTAAAGGTATAAGTATTGCACACTACACCGAAACACATTTCAGTAAAACCAATACAATGTAAAAACGTGCCAAAACACAACACTCACAACATTAATATTAATGTACATGTATCTGGTTCATCTGTTGATCTATGTCACCTGCCTTTTTTTAACAAAAGAATGTAAAATGGTGGCTACATTTCCCTACTATGACTGTAATTTTAAAGGTATAAGTATTGCACACTACACCGAAACACATTTCAGTAAAACCAATACAATGTAAAAACGTGCCAAAACACAACACTCACAACATTAATATTAATGTACATGTATCTGTGTAATTATAAACACATTTCAGTAAAACCAATACAATGTGAAAACATGCAAAAACACAACTCTGACAACATTAATAATAATGTACATGTATCTGTGTAATTATCATCACCATCATCCTCATGTGCTGTCAAGACAATTCTGACTTAGGGTGACCCTTTTCAAGTTTTTTTTCCAGGTCATGACAAGACAATTCTGACTTAGGGTGACCCTTTTCAAGTTTTTTTCCAGGTAATGAATACTTAAAAGTGGTTTACGATTCCCTTCTTCTGGGGGTGCCCTGAGACAGTGCAGGGCTACCCAGGCTGGGAATCGAACCCCCAACCTTTGGTTCTGCAGCCAGATATCTAAGCCACAATCCGTGTAAAACTCCTTGGAATGAACAGCCATTTGAGCAAAGTTGAACTACTGGCAAAACCAATTAGAGAGTTCAAGTCAAGGCACGCCAGTCACTTTCCTCCCAACTGCATCTGACTTCCAAGGCTCCAAGTTGAACAGATAGTTTTTTCATGTGCCTAATGACGTCTTGTCCCCTTCTGGCTTAGTAAAACCTCAGTGAATAACGGTGGGGGGTCTTGACAGTCTCGATGTCCTCTCAGATTGCCTCCTTTGTCTTCCTGTTTTGTCAATTTGTTTTAGGTTGGTGGGCATCGATGCTCACATGGGGCAAATCACGGAATGTTGCATCAGCCTAGATCACAGAGTACTGGCTACTGTGTCTTTGGATGGCTATCTCAAGGTACTGCTGCCCTTCGAATCTCCTCCTCCTCCTCCTTGAATTTGTCTATCTTCCTGCTTTGGGCAGGTTATAACCCTCCTGACTTTTAAAAGTGGCTGCAGCAAAGATGCTAAAAGAAATACTTCTGTCATGGGACAGACGTAGGCACAAAAGCAGATGGCATCAGCCTGGTTTGAGCAATCAGAACCTCAGTAGGACTTTGGTTGTTTTTTTTTTTTTGTAGAATGAGGCTGTAAGAAACCGATAGATGTCACTGGGTTCTCCCCACTTTCTCGATCTGCAGGAAGGAGCCATCCACCATGTGTGTGCTATTTCTCTCACTGCCCAAGCTGGGCAAAGCAATATGTTTTCAGAACTGTTGTTTTAACGGCACACAAACATCCACGGGACACCTGCCTTAGGTTGCAAGCTGCCCCTAAATACATGTCTTGGGAGCGGCAGGAAGAATAGTTTAAAATGGACCATAACTCCAGATGTGTAACTTTCCTTTTTCAGCTCTGGGACTCTACTCGTGGTGAGCTGATGCGTAAATGGGACAGTTTGCGTCCTTTGAACTGTGTGACCTTTTACCCCGACAGTCAGCTGGTGGCTGTAGGAGGATGGGACAGGACAGTCACCATCTTGGATGCCAATGAAATGAGCGTGATCTCGGTGAGGAAGGGAGAGACTCAAGATATTGTGAGATGGGGTGGGGGGGTCCAGGGACACTGGGAATGTACTGCTCTTTGGTCCCATTTCTTTCCTGTTCTGCCTCAACGAGCTCAAATGGCCCCCCTTCTCATTTTATCCTTGCGACAGCCCTATGAGGTAGGTCAGACTGAGAGAGAGTTGACTGGCCCATAGCCATGGCTCATTGAGGACTAGAATCCGGAACTCCCATGTTCTACCGGAGCACTTTAGCCTCTATACCATTGGTTCCTAGCCTTGGGTAACCCAGGTCTTATTGGACTGCAATTCCCAGAAGCCTTCACCACCAGATATGCTACCTGGGGTTTCTGGGAGTTGCGGTCCGAGAATACAGGGGTGATCTTTGCTCTGGGGTTTCTGGGAGTTGCGGTCCAAGAACACAGGTGTGATCTTTGTTCTACATCGCACTGGCTTTCAGCAAGTTGAAGCTTCCAGCTGGGTGTCAAGAACCAACCCATCCCACTGCATTTTTCTCGATTTACCTCTTCCTCTACAGATGCTGAAAGGTCATGACGCCTCTGTCCGTTCCATTGCGTTTTCCTCGGCTGGGAACATTTTAATAGCCGGATCCTTGGTAGGCTCCATCAATCTATGGTCATGGCGTGAGGCGGTTGTCTTGGGTGCTTTCTCGGCTCACTCTGGCTGCGTCTCTGCCGTTCGCTTCCTCCCAGGAGGGAAGCTTCTCACTGTGGGAGAAGACTGCAAGGTGCGTGTTTGCGATAGGACTGGACAGCCTTGAGAACGGTTAGGATGTTGGGAGGTGAGAGTTCAGCCATGAGTTGGTCTAAAGCCCACTTATTTGTCTGTCCACTCAGTGTCAGTCCACTAATAATGATAAATTGGTTGGTTTTGATACACATCATGTTGTAAGACGGGCCCAAAATCCCTATAGCTGCACCCATATGGACAAGATAATAAGACTCAGTACCACTGTTTAAATAAGGGATGTGGTGGCGCTGCGGGCTAAACCGCAGAAGCCTGTGCTGCAGGGTCAGAAGACCAAGCAGTCGTAAGATCGAATCCACGCAACGGAGTGAGCTCCCGTCACTTGTCCCAGCTCCCGCCAACCTAGCGGTTCGAGTAGATAAATAGGGACCACCTCGGTGGGAAGGTAACAGCATTCTGTGTCTAAGTCGCACTGGCCATGTGACCACGGAAGATTCTCTTCGAACAAACGCTGGCTCTATGGCTTGGAAACGGGGAAGAGCACCGCCTCCTAGTCGAACACAACTGGACAAAAAATGTCAAGGGGAACCTTTACCTTTACCTTTACCACTGTTTAAGCAGGGGTGGAACTGTAAAGTACAGTAGGAACTCCGTATCCATGTGGGATTGGTTCCAAGCCCCAGATACTGAAAGCCGCAGATAATAACGAATACTATGCATAGCGTAATATAAGAAAAAAATCCAGAAAAAATATTTTCACCATGTATTACCAGAACTAGACAATAGAGGGAGGCATAGTCTCTGCCTCCCTCTAGTGGCCACGTCTGGTAAATATACCATGAAAATACATATTTTAGATTTTTCTTCTTTTAATATTTTTAATATCTTCAGTTATTAAAGTGAAACCACAGATACTGATCTCATGGATACAGGGGATCCTACTGTAATGACTGAAATCCTATTGTTTCATCAGTTGCACTAAAGTAGTTCCATTGGATCAATGGGGAGACAACTCCTCCATAATTTCCATTGAGTCAAATGGAGGTACTGTAGCTGCTGCTTACTGCTGTAAAATAAGTCACAATTGAACCAGTGAACAGTATGGAGGAGTTGACTTACCAAATCTACTGATTCAGTGGGCCTACTCTAGGGGGGTGTATTACTCCAAGCAATAGGATTTCAGACAATGCATCAGAGTTTTTTAGTGTGCAATTTTTATATAATGCCTGGAAAAAAACAACATATGAAATCAAGATGTCCCAGCCTTTAAAAAAGTTGGCACACACACAAAAAATACAGTAAAGGGTATCAGATGGCCAGATTTCAGAGGAAGCTGATGAAGTATATCTTGAGTGTCAGCCGTTTCCCTCAAAGAAAGATATTGCATGGAAATAGGAGGTTTCTTGAGTGATAGACCTCAAGATTTTGGCCATCCAAAGCATATCTTTTGCTTTGTGCCTACCCAAAACATATCTTGTGGTTTTATCTCTTCCACTCCCCCACCCGAGTTCAGATAAATGTTTAAAATCCAAGCCTATTGCAGAAATCCCTCCTTCCCTTTGCACGCGCCCATCCAAGCCCCAGTGGTCACGGATCCGGTCTCATGGGTGTCGCTGCGCCTTGGTTTACGCAGGTCCAACTTTGGGAAGGCCGACTGGGACAATACTGCGGGACTTTAGGATCAGCCACTCTTTCTCCGGCTCTGTGCGTCGTGCTAAGTCCGGATGGCCGCCGGCTGGCAGTGGGGCACCATTCGGATGACGTCTGGGTTTACAGCCACCCTTGGGGTAAGTTCTTCTCGTAACTGGCCTTTGTCTGATGAAGGCAAAGCCACTAAGAGCTCAAAAGCAGGTCACCTTTTTGTACAGTCATGCCCCGCTTAACGATTACCCCGCATTATGCCGAATCTGCTTCACGACGATGTTTGCGAGCGCAAAATGATGTTCTAAATGGCGGAATTTTGCTTAGCAATGATCGGTTCCCTGCTTCGGGAACCGATTTTCGCTTTACGACGATCAAAAACAGCTGAGCAGTGGCCATTCATTCATTCTTTCATTCATTCATTCATCCATACCTCTTTGTCCCTCATTCATTTTTCCCCTCTTTCAGGCACCAACGCTGGCCCAACTCACTGCCGAGCTAGCGGGGTGGCCGTCTGCAGCCTGGCCTGGCTGGAGGACCGCTTCCTGATCGGGGGCCGCAGTGATGGGTCTTCATTCATTCATTCATTCATTCATTCATTCATTCATTCATTCATTCCTCTTTGTCCCTCATTCATTTTCCCCCTCTTTCAGGCACCAACGCTGGCTCAACTCACTGCCGAGCTAGCGGGGTGGCTGTCTGCAGTCTGGCCTGGCTGGAGGACCGCTTCCTGATCGGGGGCCGCAGTGATGGGTCCCTTTGCCTCTGGAACACCTCAGACCTTCATCCCTCTTGCCTTCATAAACTGCAAGGCCACGAGAAAGCGGTGACGGGCCTGGCTGTCTCTGGGAAGCTGGTGGCGTCGACCTCAGGTGATTTACAGGGAAACTAGTACAGAAGCTTGGCTTCCGAGGGGTGAATTTGCAGGACTGCGATTTTGGTGAGGGCCGTTTTAAGTATCTGGCTGCAGAGCCAGAGGCCGGCAGTTCGATGCCTGTGTGGCATTAGGCAATGTCCCAGGGTGCTTCCAGAAGGAAGGGAATGGTAAACCACATCTATTCTCTACTTGGAAAATTCTGAGAAGTCAGAATTGACTTGATGTAACAGGATTTGTATTTACACCGGTTTGTCCAAATGAAGAACAGCCTAGAAATGTTTCAAAGCAATGCATTAATTATATGATGCATTGTTTTGGAAGGGAGATTGAGGAAGGTGGAGAAGAAAGGGTTTATACTTGTGACTTGAACCCCGGTGCTTTTTAGAAAAAAATTAGCAATCCAGGTAGTGGCTTGGTTGAGTGAGAAGCTGCAGGAACGGGGGAGAACAAGAAACCTAAAGATTGCCACCACACAAATACCTCACTGAGGCAGGCAGGCACAATCATGGTGCTTGTGCCCCGCCTGTGTCAATCCTCCAGATTTAACGCTCCTTCTTTCCTTCCAGAGGACTTCACAGTCCGGCTCTGGCTTTTCAGACCCCTCACGCCAGACCCCGTTTCGCCGCTGGCCGTCCTCCGGGGTCACACGGGTGGCGTGACCTGCTGTGCCTTCAGCCCCGACGGCGGTTGCCTCGCCACTGGAGGAAAAGACCGGGTGAGGCGCTGAGACAAGTCGGGGCCTGAAAGGTGCCCCCAAACACCTCGCCACCTAATAATAGTGGATAAGCTTTGTGGGGGTGGGTGGGTTGAGGAAGGCCATTTGGCCACCATAGGCCATCTGCGACCTGTGAGGCACGAGGGGTAAGATTGTAATTTCTTGCCCCTTGGTGTAATTTCCCAGTTCATACATTGCAGCACTGAGGTTCAGCCACCTTAGCTCAGTAAAAAGTTATTATTTCTTTTCCTTAGAACTACAGTACAACATCCGTTGGTCAGCACAGCCGTCGGCCATGCCGGCCGGCTGGACTCTTAGGACTTGCTTTTTTTAAAATTCCGTTTTCCTGTCAGTGTCTCTAACCTGGTGCTCTGGGCAACAGGATGTATACCTGGGCCACGTGCCCCAGAATCCTTTGCAACAGGCAGGGCAGAGGGGATGATGGGCCCAAGCAGGACGTTTTGAAACAAGCAGCGCTCGGAGGACAGGAGAGAGAAGGAAGAAAGCAAACCGCTTTAGTACCCCCAGCAGAAGCAAAGGGGTAAGATGCTCTTCCTGTTAAACAAAACAAAAAAACCAAAATGGATTTACTCCCATTTCCAGGCTTTGTTTCTCTGGGACATAAAAGATCCAGGCCAGAAGGTGCCTGCCCTCTGGAAGTCCCTGCTCTTCTGCCACCAGGACTGGATCTCCAGCTGCTCCTGGGCTGGCCCTACATTGGTGAGTTGGGGGCCCCACAGGGAGCGTGGAGGTGGGGTTTTGTTTGGGGAGGGAGCTTGGGGAAGAGGCTGGTTTACATCCCTGCTCAGTGGGTGGGACGCTCATCTCTGAACCAACGGCCCTTTTTCAATCAGCTGCCATGCAATGGTGTCTGTTGTGTTCAAAAAGAGACCATCGAAGGTGTGACGGAAAAGTGCCCATCGCTCCAGCTGGCCGGAGGAGGAAGCAGCGACGGAGGTGCGCTGGGTTACCAGACAGACCTTCCGTTCACATGGGAGACATTCCTTCTCCCATGAGAAGGATCCAGACGGCACTTCAGATCGCTCCAATTTCTCCCCCTTTTGATTATCGATGCCCATGGCCGCACCCCTTTCCCTTTCTTTTGTGACAGCTGTCATTCCTCAGGCCACAGGCAACTTCCCTTTTTTATCGTTGTTGTTTAATTTAGTAAGTGGCATAGTGCTACAGAAATACATCAATCTATTGTAGACACTCCCTTATAACTGAAATAGCACTATGTCACTTAGGAAAATATTTTTTAAAAAAATCATGAGAACAATAGGGGAAAGATGTTTTGCTTCCTTTCTTTTTTTCCACCAGGGCATTGAATTTGAGCAGGGCATTGAAAAAAGAGGAATGTTTGTGTTTATGAATTTCTTTTCTGATAGCTCAGTGGTTTTGGTCTCCAGTTGCAGACACATTGATGATACGTTTGATTCCCCATTGTTCCTCCTTGACGGGGGCTGGTCTTGATGATCCATTCGGTTCCTTCCAGCTTTGCAATTCTAAGATTATTATTAATCCTTTAAAAAAAACAGTTTAACAGTTGTGATGGGCAACCTCAGTCCTTCAAAAAACACTGGAGCTGTCACTTCACTTCCTATGACACCTCACCGGGGGAGCTGTGGGAAACATAAACGTTGGTTCAACCCAGCAGAATGGACACGGGACCATCTCTTTGTTTAAGAGGTGCCCAAGACCTGCCGATACGGATAGGTTGTGCTAGGCTTGGAGGCCATGGTCGCTGCCCAGGGGATGGTGCCAGCTTGGTATTCCTTCCCCCTACACACACATTGATGATACGTTTTTGTGTGGTGTGTGTGCCAAATTGTTGATCCTTCTGTCTTCCCACTGGAGAACTATGTTGGGAGTAGAACCGATTGCCATCCTCTATGTGGAGCAGCCTCTAGTATTTCAAAAGAATGGAAAGAAGACACACCCAGGCATACACCCCACAACATGTGTCTAATGTCTTACTCAAACCCCCCACTTTTTTCTGAATAGCTCTCTGCATCCAATGATGGCACTGTTCGCCTCTGGGACCCCAAAACCGGCCAGCACTTGCGAGAATTCCTGGGTCATCAGAGCCCCGTCTGTGGCGTCACCAGTGAGGTGAGGAGATGTGGGGCCCTGGTGGAATCCTTAATTTTTTTTTGAGAGCTTCATTGTTCATGTAGCTGGGTGTGCATTTTCTCAGACTGAACGGTGGCTGATCTTAGGACCACAGTTCCCAACCTTGAGACCCCAGATGTTCTTTGACTGAAGCTCGCAGAAGCCTTCAGCGCTCGCTGCATTAGCCAGGATTTTTGGGAGTTGTAGTCCAAGAACATCTGGGGTCCCAAGCTTGGTGAGCACCGGTCTAGAACATGCCTGGGATTGGAGTATAGCTTCTATAAAGCAAGAGGGAAAGGTTGGAGGGAAGGATTGATTTCTGCTTCGCCATCTGCACAAGATGACTTGGGACACCTGAGTCTTGGGAATGACTGACGCTCCTAGGATCTTGGAACATGTGACCTGAGACTGCCCTTCCCATCATCTCTGATCCTTAACCCTGTTCCCCATGGCCGATGGGAGTTGGAGCCCAAGAACATCTGGAGACCCACAGGGTCCTCATCATCCGATCCAAGTACTGGCTGTAGGCTCCCCTTCTTGATCCATCTTCTACCTGCCCTGATTTCATCCTGTTGACCTCACCTCCTTCTGGCTTGTTTGGCAGAGAGATCATGTGATCTCTGTGGGTCGAGATGGGACGCTGGTCTCATGGGACCTGCAGGGAGTGGAAAAAACCCGGTTCTTTGCTCACCCCGGTGGGGCCAACCACTGTGCCAGCTTCATAGAGCCAGGTAAGTAAAATACTTGGTTTTTTGGTAAAACACTGTTAACCTTCTAGAAAAATCTGGAAAAGGGGAGTCTGCTGGAATAGCTCTGTCTGCGTTACATGGGCCCAGGTGTGTTTTTTAGTCTTTTCATTTTATTTCAGATGTAAATGCCTCAGATGACTTAAATTCACATTAAAGGTGCAGTAGAAGTGAATTTGTTGTTTGTTGTTGAGAGAAGATCTTACAGGGGGTTGACCACTGCAGCTCAATGGTCAAACACATCCGTAAGGGTCTGTTCCATGGCCCTGATTCTATATAAAGCAGCCTTGACGATCTGGGCTGTTCAGTAGACATTTCCCTTAAATTGCAGACCTTTCAAGAATCAAACGAGCAGCACTGTCTCGCTTAATTAGCGATCTCTAATTTGCCTGGTGAAGATGCTGGCAGTTCCCTCACAGAGCACCAGCTTAAATCAGCCCTCAGAGAGTTTGACCTTTTAATTGCCGATTCCTCAGGAGGCTTCCGGTGAATGCCCAAATTGCCTGGTGTTAAAGCAAAAATGAGAAAACAAAATTTTTGAAGGTGGAGAGATGCTCCGCTTAACATAGCATGCTTTCTCCCACTTCAAGACTACGATTGCTTTAGATTCTCTGGCCTGCCTTCTGATACCACATAGACCGTTAAGACGCAGTCCTCCTTGTTTTCCTTTTGTCAGGGGAGAAAGATTTCACGTTGGCTGCGGCTGGATGGGATGGCACCGTGAAACTCTGGAAGCCACTGACGGTAAGACACGAGGAAGGGAAAACACTGTGCTTGGTAGCAGACAGAATACTTCATAGATCTGAGCTTTTGTAGGCAAGTCCACTTCCTCGGACATAAGATTGGGACTGCGTGGCAAATATTTGCACATTTATACATAGACATGTATGCATTTATTCCGGTGCCCAGGAAACAAGCACGCTCTTTGTTTGGGGGCCATGTGACATGTATAAGTATTGGCCATGCAGTCCCGCTCTTGAACTGCCAAGATAGATCAGTAGTTTAGGGAAGTGGCTGCAGAGCCAGAGTTCAATTCCCCACTCGGCCTTTTTGGGCTGGACTCCGTGAACTATAGGGTCCTCTGCAGCTTTACAATTCTAAGATGTTGATGGGGATGAATATGGTGTCTGAAGAAGTGGACATGTCCCTGAAAGCTCACATTAAATGTAGCAGTCTTTAAGGCGCCACGAGGTTTCTGTCTTCTTTATTTTTTTATTTTTCTTTTGTTTTGGCTTGATATGGCCAAAACAACACGCTTTCTGATCGTCCCAGAGCAGAATAATGGGCTCAGATTTTGGCTGGATATCAGGGAAAACATCTTAGCTGTTAGAGCAGTATGACAATGGAACCCATGACCTCGAGAGGTGGTGAGCGCTCCAACGCTGGAGGCCTTCGAGGGGAAATTGGAGAACCATCTGTCAGATCCGCTTTGATTTGGGTTCCTGCCCTGAGCAGGGGGGTTGAACTCCATGGCCTTAAAGGCTCCTTCCAAACTCAGTTTTTCTATGATTCTCTTACTTCTACAGAGTAAAACAGTGACCTCTTCTAAAACAGCATCTATTGATCTAGTTTCTCAAAGGCTCTGACACTGCGGACTCTTATTTCACTGCTGTTTGCTAATTGTCTTTATTACAACTTGTGTGGTTTTATTCCTCTTTTTCCACTTGAAATGATGGTTTTGTGGTCAAGTTTAAGAGTCGTGCATCTTTTTGTTCAATGGTTGCCCCCCCCCCATTTTGTATTGTAAGTAGAGATTCAACCCTGCTCTCCCTCCTCTTCCTTTTTTCTCTCTTTTCTTTTGGACCAGATGGAGCAACCCCAGCGACTTCCCGGGCACTGCGCGGCCGTCCGTGGGGCTGCAGCCTCCCCGGCATCTTTTCTGACCATATCAGAAGACAAAACGGTCCGAGTGTGGGCTCTTCCCAAAGAGGGAGGTTAGTGAATCGGGACGCCTGCCGGCTTTCCCTGCCTTTCCTGTTGGATTTTGGGCTGGACTCAGTGATCCATAAGGTCCTCTGCAGCTTTGCAATTCTAAGATGTTGACGGGGACGAATATGGTGTCTAAAGAAGTGGACTCGTCCCCCCCCGAAAGCTCACATTAAGTAGTTTAGGTGTCTGGCTGCAGAGCCAGAAGTTGGGAGTTCGATTCCCCCGCTGGGTCTCCCTGACAGGGGCTGGACTTGATGATCCATAGGGTCCCTTCCAGCTCTGCCGTTCTAAGATATTTGTGGACTGAATCCCAAAGGAGATTGGGATGGGAGGCAGGCGAAGAGGCAGAGCACCCTATGGAGACATCCACCCAACTCCATCGCTTGGCTTGTTTGTTTCAATCATCTCAGTGCCCTTATTCATTCATCAGTTACGTTGCTATCCTGCCTTTCCTTGGTTGAGATCAATGTGGATCTCCCACCACTTTATCTTCACAGCAACCCTTTGAGGTAGC